AAAAAAAAAAAAAACAATGTGTTTTGAACTTCTTTCAAAAATAATTTAGTGAATGATCTCTATAAATTTTCGTGGCACCACCTAAGATGCTCTCATGGCACAGCAGTTGAAAATCACTGCATTGAACTATATACTATTCTTCTAAAGCAAAAAGATTTTTTTTAATATATAATTATGGTATACACCTCTTGAGAAGCACAGTCATAGCAGCCTATTAATCTGATAGATATTAAAGATTGTGCTCTTGTGAGAAACAGTGAAGAGAAACTGGTTTTTTTGTTTTTGTTTTTTGAGAGAGAGAGAATCTCACCCCATCGCCCTGGGCAGAGTGCCATGGCATCACAGTTCACAGCAACCACCTGAAACTCTTGGGCTAGAGCAATCCTCTTGCCTCAGCCTCCCAAGTAGCTGGGACCACAGGCACCCCCCACAATGCCTGACTGATTTTTTTTCTATTTTTAGTAGAGATGGGGTCTTGCTGTTGCTCAGGCTGGTCTTGAACTCCTGAGTTCAAGCAATCCACTCGCCCCAGCCTCCCAGGAGCGTTAAGATTACAGGTGTAGAAACTGGGCTATTAATGAAATAGGTTGAAGCAGGAGATTACCTGGTGTCAACCATATGGTCTTTGCCATAGTGAAGACCACCTCCATCTTCTACCTGAACGAGAGAGAATGTCCGTCTGCTACAGTTGCAGTAGGATTCTCACTCCTCTGTCTCTTGCAATACCTTAAGTACTAAAGTCTTCTAATTTGGTTTTTCTTTCGGGAAACACGTTGAAGATTGCTTCCAGCTCTTTTGCACTAGCAAACAGATTTTCTAGCAACAGGATGCCTATTTAAATGCCCGAATTGATTTTAGAAAAACCTGAACAGTGTTTTATTTTCACCATGAAAAATAAATGTTTATTTGCACCATGTTTCATGTTGCAAGAGGATGAGCTCGCAGTGAGCCCATGTCTAGCACTCTCTGTCCCTGGGATTATCTGACCCACCGGCTTGCCTGGGCTGTACTGGTTTTCCGAAGAGGCGTCATACATGGGTAACTTCTGCTACAAATAAGACATTGATGTTTATTAGTGATTTACTTAAGTTATACCTCTTTCTCCCTTTCAAGAAGGGAAGAGAAAAGAGACAGTGTTTAAACTTAGCCTCTCCTCTCAGCTACTGACTGATACTGCCTGAGCCAGCAAGAGGAAGCTCCTTGTGGTATAACAGTCATGATAATTGAGAAGTTTTGCTGTGCTTTACTTTCCCCCAGATTTCTGTCCTGTTAGTCAAAAGGGTCTGGTGGTGGCGGTGCAGAAGAATATTACTTATTTTGTGTTTCATCTCTCTCCCCCTCAAAACAAACAAAACCCAAACACAGGTGCTTTGAAAGATGCTGTCAAAGTCTTGGCAAAGCCAAGCTGATTACCTCCAGCAGTGACAGCATTTTGGTGGCTGTCTCTAACAGGGGTCCCAAAAGACAGTTGAGCTGAGCATGCACAGGGTGGGCCCTACCTGGTGGCATCACTATAAATTGGAGAGCGAGTGCAGCTGAGGCTCAGTTGTCTCACTGTGTGACATTCTCCCTGCCTTTCCTGCTGTCCCCTCCAGGGCAAAGAGAATGACTGCAGCCTCCATGAGCTTTGTGATCAACCACAAGAGAGGAGGGACCCCCTTTCTCAGACCGAATGAATAGCAAGGAAATGAATTCAGGAGTGATAGGGACAGAGGCCTCATAACCCCTGCGGAGCCCATCCAACACAATTGGGTTACTCGTAAAAAAACAGCAACAAAACTTCAAGCAAATGTGCCATTAAAAACCCTTACATAATTGTAACAGGTTTGGGTTTCCTCTGGTTCAAGTTTTCTTGCCTCTTTGATAATCAAAGGATCTGGAGAAAAGCATAGAATTTCAGGGGAGAAGCTGCATGACAGGCTTACAATAAGGCTATTCATGGCACTCTTTTTTTTAGCTTAAATAGGATCTGCATCATTCTTAGTCTCTGGCTTTGCTACAAGGTTCCATTTAAACTTAACCCAACTTGCAGACTTAACTGATCCGGGAATGACTCAGTACAACTCACCAGCTACTGCAGCTCTCGTCCCCCTGTCGATAAGGGAACTTAGCACAATGGGCTTTACAGTTCTTAAATGACTCCATTTTTTCCCCCTGTCTTTGAGATGTGGTGCTTATATGACCTTTTGTTTTTAATACATTTGCACAAGATTTGGTTATTTTTTTTAAAAAGTGTTAAAAAATGCAAAATGGTCTCCTTATCCTTAGAAGAGAACTCTTAAAATCTTGTATATGATGTAGAAACAAATTTATGTGTCTTATTTATATAGCTGATTTTGATATATTAGATACTGTTAGATATTATTAAATTAAACTTGAACATATTTTATTTACTTTTGAGGGGTGATTCTGGTACACTTTCTAGTAGTACTTCACCGAATTTCCATTTTTGCACATGTCTGCTTATCTGTTGGCTTTGATACTATTTTTAGTAACTTATATGTAAATTTAACATTTCAGTGAAATCAGCCAGTTGGTTAGAGGCCATGGGATGGCTACAGTGCTAATCTGTTGTTCCTTTTCCCCCCGTCAGGGCACACTGTTCGTCCCTGAGTGGCTGAGGGAGGAGGGGGCTTGATCGAGTGCAGAGAAGACATCCCACTCAGGGATGGGGACACATTTGGTAGCACAGCCCGCTGAGAGCACTGAGCATGCGCACTGTGGGTGCACACCTCAGAATAGTGGTTCTCACACTTTAGTCAAAAGAGGAATCATCTGAATGCTTATTAAAATTACAGATGCCTGGACTTAACCCAAGAGACTGACTGATTCAGTAATCTGGGATGGGACCTGAGCATTTGCATTTTTAACAAGCACGCAGTTGATTCTGATTGTAACAGGGCCACACTGGGAATCATCCTAAGATCACCCCTGCAGCATCTGTGGCCTCAGCTAAGCAGGGACCCACCTTAAGAAGGAGTGACCCCTGCTGTGATCCCCAGAGGTACAGGTAGCAGAAGGATAGCTCCAGCATTTTCAAAGTGTTTGAGCAGTTGGAACATCCTCCTCCTGTCCCACTCTGTCCACAGCAGGGCAGTGTCCACTTCATCCTCATGTTCCCAGGAAGACGCCTCACCCAGGGGCCAGTGTGGGGTGTGAGAAGATGTCATCTCACTCCCTCCCCAGCCTCCTAATTAGAATTTCAAAGCAGATGTTATCTGCAGTGTCTAATCCAAATTTACCTCTATACCCCTCCCTTCCTTTATTAAAGTACTTATAGATTTTTAGAAGCAAAGGTCTTTTTCAAAAAAAACCTCCAATTAGAAATGGATTCTCAAAGAGCCTTTGGCAACAAAAACAAAAATAAACAAATGGGACTTAATTAAGCTAAAAAGTTTCTGCACAGCAAAAGAAATAATCAGCAGAGTAAATAGACAACCTACAGGAAGGGAGAAAGGAATAGACTTGGGAGACTCCAAAGAGGGGAGGGAATTACAGGTGAAACACATTTGTTCATTTCATAAGGATAAGATTTTTGCTTGGGGATCAGTTAATGTGATCTGTTGAAGTTGCTATGATGATGCCATGGTCAGAACAGATAGGAAAATAAGATGCTACAGGGGTTGGCCTGGGTGCTGTGTGTGTTCTGTTTGTAGAATCCACCCCCATATAGTCGTCAGACTTCATCATGAGAATTTTCAGACCTCTTCAAAGGTAGGAAGTAAAACAACTCCCATGTATTCATCCCCTGCTTCCCAGAGTTATCAAGACTTTTCCTATTTCTCAGTAGCCTTTTCTTGTTCTTAAATGTTGCTCATGTTTTTTTAGGAGAGAAAGTAAAATCTGTTCCTCATCTTTTAAAAAGTTCTTGACTGAGGTCCTTATAACAAAAGACAGGTTAACAAGAGAAAAACATACATATCTATTTAATGCAAGCTCTAAATCACACAGGAACCTTCAGAAATGGAGACCCAGAGACAGGGAAACATGTATTTTATGCTTAGTTCTGAAAAGAGTGTGCAGTTGTTTAAAGGAGTGATTGGACAAAGGTGAATGGCAATGACCTGGGGGCAATTTGCAAGGCCTGTAAGTACAAATTCTTTCCTGTGTCTTCAGAGATAAGGATGTTCCTTTCCTCTGGGTTTAGGAAGGGCACCTCGGGATGAGAGTCTGCTGACCTCTTCCAGGGGAAGGAATAAAAGGGGAGATTTAAGGACTAATTGCTTCATCTGTTTTCTCAAATGCCGTGGTGCCATATTTGGGGATAACACATTCCAAACCCCATCATTTTCGAATCGGTTCATTTGGGGAATGAATTAAACAAGAACTGCTTTGCTTGGAACCTGAGTACAAGGATCACAAGTAACACTGTGAACGTGTTCTTTTTCAGGAATGTGTTCCAGAAAACCTAGATCTGAAGAAGATGATTTTTGCTCAGTTGGATGCCATCCTCGATGACAGAGTGGTCTTAAGCAGTTCCAGCTCTTGCCTCCTGCCTTCCAAGTTGTTTACTGGCTTGGTGCATGTGAAACAGTGTATTGTGGCTCATCCTGTGAGTATCTTAAACCTGGTGAATTCACTGTATCTCATTCTGTGTGTCAGGGGCAATAAACTGTGACTAACCCACTAGTACCACATATTTTGAACTGCTTTACTGAGATATAATTCACATACTGCCCCGTGGCTGGACCAGCACACACATCTGAGAGCAGTGGGACAGAGTTGGGAGGCTGGTTGTTGAGACTTGTGCAAGTCCCTCTGAAGGGTTGGTCGGCTTAGGCACAGAGCAGCAGCATGATATGCTGGTAGAGCTGTTTTGGGAGGTATGTGGACATGGGTCAGAGGGGGTGGTGGGACATAGGCAGGATTCCGAGCTTGAGTTATCTGCCCTCTTGGTTGGGGAAGTTTCTCTTTCTTAGCAAGTGGAGAGGTAACATTAGCTCATGGAGGTGAGGAAGAGTAAGTTGTGGGTGCCTACCAGATTTTATGTGGTAAGAAAAGGGGCAGCTTGGAGCATTGTGAACAGAGCTGTGTGGTTCTGGATGTTTTGTCATGAACTGAAATACAGTGGAAAGAGAGGAGAAGTTATAAGGAAAGTGAGGCCCATAAAACATAGAAGAGTAGCAGTCACATTTAATTATGACTTAAGTCCAGGGAGATTAGCACCAGGAGGGACCCTAATTGAAAGCACTCTAAGGTCAAGTCCCATGGAGCTGCTGGTCTTTGCTTCTCTAACACGTACATGTCCATGAAAGGGCCTGTCAGACACCAGAGGCCCTTAGCAGGTCATTAGTCACCTGGCTACTTAACTCCTTCAGTAGAAGGTGTATAGAATCAGCCTCATGCTCAAGCCCTCCCAGTTTCTAACCTGTGTTGTAACTTCTAAGTCAGTTTAAAACAAAACCAAATCCCTCAGGATATGCCTCCTAAGTTCTTTGACAAGACCTTTGCCATGTCTCTTCAATTTTAAACTACCCAATGGGTGAGAGGACTCCTGAGTCACTTTCTTCTCTGCCACACCTAGCCCAGTCATCTGCCCAATAGGACAGTTGGTAACTGTGGAACAATGACATTCCCACCCCTGCCTGCTTTTACTTACTTAATCAAAGGCAAGCAGCATGAAGTCCAGATCTTATTTTTAAAATTAGTCTCTCTTTACTTTGTAAATTATTTTTAACTGAATCTAACTTTAAATGAAGCAAACCAAATAACCCAACTTAACCTTTCTTCCCTCCGTGTTAGAGGAGCCTCTCCATCATGACACCAGCCTCCAGAGGAGTGGACAGGCAGACCCCAAATAGTTCAGAACCACTTATCACCTTCAAGGAGCTTCAGTCATTCAGCTTTGAGTGATCTTTGCCTGGGCAGGAACTAGAGTGAAGGAAAGAGAGGCCTGTTTATGCCTTGGCAAAAGTGGATGTTCTATAATTGTGAAAGGTTGCTGCTGCCTCTGCTCAGCAAGGAGCAGCCACCAGGTGTCCAGGGTCACCTGCCTCGGGTGGGTGGGCTGGCTTCCTAGACCAGAGCAGGGAAGCAGTCGTGGGCACCCTGCACAGAAGGCCCAGGAGAGGGCTGTAGCCCAGACTTACTCTTCACCTCTCTGCTCTGGGGTAACAGGCAGGCAGCGGGCGTTTGGGGCAAGGACGTGTGAAGGTGGGTTTGATCCCGGTTCCTGTTACTTAGGGTCTGTGTTAGCCCTATCAGGGTAGCAGGCCTCTACCCAGAGTTAAGCCACACTATACAGAGGCTCCTGTACTTTTTTCTTCCTCATCTCAGTGTGGGGAGGTGAGAGTCCCTGGGCTTGTCTGTCTGCAGCTGGAGTCCCTTTCAGAAGCAGCTGTCAAAGGTTGGCCAGGCCCTGCTTCCTGCTAGGCTCTGGCAGTCTGTGCCCCAGTGCTGCTCCCCGTGCCCCTGTCTTTTCTGACTCAGTCCCCATCTGACACTGGTGAGTGCTTTATTTGGGGCTTGCTGTTTGTAGTGCTACCTGCAGAGGACCAGTATACAACAGTCCTTCAGCAAGTCTGGGGGTGGGGGGATGTTAAATGCTCCCCCCCCACCTCAGTCACCCATTCATAGGAGGAAGGAGGAGAGATGGGAATTGCCTGCTGTCCCCTGGAGGGTGGAGGGAGCTGGGCGGGTGCTGACTTAGCTTCAGCCCAGGGCAGGTAGAGGAAGGAGGAAGAACTCACCCCTGCCCTACCCCGCCTGCCCTGCCCTGTCCGCCCTACAGGCCCTGCCCAGGGCCTTCTCCCTGAGCCTTTGCATGTGCTTCCCATCTCCAAAGGGAATTTGCAATCCCCTCTAAGAAATTGCTCCATTAACATGTGTTTCCCATTTCTGGATGGCAAGTTTCTTAGTCTTTCTCATACACACCCACAGCAGAGAAAGACCAGCATTTGGGGCAGTGGTGTGGGCGGCTGACTGGGGCCTGCCTTCCCACAGGGCTCTCACATCCCCTCCTCTCTGGTTCCTTCCCCTCCCATCCCCTCTACCAAGGGAAGTTTAAAGGGTGCCTGTCCTCATCCTCAGGTTCTTTTCCGAGCCTGAAACTAGGATGGACTTGGAGTGGGTGTGCAGAGATGGCACCAGCTCCTCTCCTAGCGCCTTCCAGCTCAACGCAGGACACGAAGTGTGGATCCAGGCCCATTTGGGAAGTGGCCAGGGAGGACTCCGGGTTGGCCCCTTGTATCTCTGTTGTACACCCTTTATAGTGGGTGATGGGGTGTCACTTCAGAGTTTTGAGCTGGAGGGGAAATGAATGAATAAATGTGTTTTATTTTCTTAATTTTTAATTTTGATGAAATTCATATTGCATAAAAGCATCCGGTTTGGTGGCATCAAGTCCATTCACACTGCTATGTGGCCATCACCGCCATCCACCTCCAGAGCTCTTTCCATCTTACAGACCCTCTGTGCCCACTAAACACTAGCTCCCACTCCTTCCACCCACAGCCCCTGGCAGCCTCTGTTCTTGCCTCCTGTCCCCATGGATCTGATAGGCAACTGTCTCAGCAGGATGGCAGTGGCAGTATGCATGGAGAGGTCAAGACCCCCAGGAGGCCCACAGAGAGGGTGTGGAATCCATGCAGGGCCCTGGGCTAAGGGAAGGCACTGGGGATGGGGTTTGTGAGAGCTGTGGAGAGAATTAGCAGGGCTTGTCACTGAAGGGGCACCAGAGCAGCAAGGGAGAGGCAGAGGCTAAGGACCCCTCCTGGTGTTGACTTGGGTGTGGGGGTGTGAGCCAGGAGCCAGGGTAACGCAGCTGGACTATCTGTGCTGTGGTGTGTTCTGGTGACAGTGTCCAGTGCACAGTTACAAATGTGGCCTGAGACCCATGTACAAGTCAGTGTATTCAGCATCTTCAGGTCTTGGCAGGTGTGACATCCAGGGAACGGGTGCTTCACTTAGCACATGTGACATTCTACCAGTGACCCCCATGTGGAGGAGAAGCCACTTAAACAGCATCATTTGGGGACCACTGGAGATAGGTGAGCAGAGTCAGCCAGAGCAACACCTCTAACCCCAGAGCGTCCCCTTGATGCCTCTGCTTCTCTTTCCCTCTCCTGAGGTGAATCCGCCATACTACGTCCCTCTGGTTGAGCTGGTCCCACACCCAGAGACCGCCTCTGCCACAGTGGACAAAACCTATGCTCTGATGAAGAAGATCGGACAGTGCCCAGTGCGACTCCTGAGGGAGGTGGACGGCTTTGCCCTGAACCGCCTGCAGTACGCGGTCATCAGCGAGGCCTGGCGGCTGGTGGAGGTATGTATGGCCCTCCTTCCCTCCTCTTTCCCTCCTTCCTTTCCTCCTTGGTTGAGCAGGACAGTAGAAGTCACTTAGTGGTGCCCTGGAAGCGGAAGAAGTCAGAGGGTGGCTGGTCCTTCTTGCTGTATTTTGGAGGCCAAGGGGAAGTTTTGGAAACAAAATATAACATAGCAATTCATTGTCTATGTGAGAGATTCCTGATAGTGAGTTATTGGATATCAGGACATGGTGACAGACTTCTCTTCTTCCTGCCCTCTCTTGATGTTACCAGGTCATTACCTCTGTGTGACATGCTGCGTTTTCTCACAGACCCAGGATTAACTCCCTTGTTACAATTCTTCGGGGAGAAAGAAATTATATTTTCATAAACCTATATCCCCTGAAGGATTCTAATTATTTCAAGAGCTTGAAGAAAAAACAAATGTTAAACTTGTTAATAATATGCTTTGCCTTAAATATAAGTAGGAAATATACATAGCATATATGTATATTGAACCTCATCATTTATTTATTTGTTTATTTATTTAGAGACAGTCTCACACTGTGGCCCTGGGTAGAGTGCAGTGGCATCATGGGCTCACAGCAACCTCAAACTCTTGGGCTCAAACCATCCTCCTGCCTCAGTCTTTCTATTTTTAGTAGAGATGGGGTCTCACTCTTGCTTAGGCTGGTCTCAAACTCACGAGCTCAAGCAATCCACCCACCTTAGCTTCCCACAGTGCTAGGATTACAGGTGTAAGCCACAGTGCCCGACCTGAACCTCCCTCATCCTTTAAATAGAGGCTTTTGCAGGTGGGGTAAGAAATTGCCCACTGCATGCACTCCTGTGTACATCTGTGCCTAGCAGTGCCAGGGTTAGAGTGGCCCCAGGGCCTGGGAGTCACTGTCTGGTTCTGTTCTGGCATTTGTTCAGCTTCTGCCCATGCCCTGTGCTCACACCTTATGCCGTAGAAACATGGCAGAGAGCTTGAGGGTCTGCCCAGCAACACCAGCTGAGGACAGTCCTTGGGCTCGAGTCATCTGCACTTGGCCTGAGTTCACACGGTTCTATGTTCCAACTCGCATGAACACACACCAAGCCTCCCCTGAAACAGGAACCAGGAAGCCTGAGCTTCTCTGGGCGTTGTATCTTGGTTTCCCAGCAGTTCCTCCAAACCAGGCAGGAACGTGACGGACGTGGGCCTCCCAAAGCTTCCTTCTGGTATTTGGCCAGATCTCTACTAGGTTCATCACCTGACCTGATGGCTCCGTGGTGTGTGCTGCATGGTGACCTCCATACGGTGTCTCACTGTTCAGATTCACCTAATGCTCCCACATCACTGGGGAACAAGCCAGCAGTTTGAATTTTTAGTAATTGAGGAATGTTTTTGAATATCAGTGTCAAGGTATTTTAAAAAACACTGAGCTGGGCGGTGCGTGTGGCTCAAAGGAGTAGGGCGCTGGCCCCATATGCCAGAGGTGGAGGGTTTAAACCCAGCTCCAGCCAAAAACTGCAAAAACAAAACACTGAGCTACCAGCCCCTACTTGGAGGTCTATTTGAAATATTTCTGGGCTGGGCATGGTGGCTCACACTTGTAATCCTAGGACTCTGGGAGGCCAAGGTGGGTGGATCCCTTGAGTTTAGGAGTTTGAGACCAGCCTAAGCAAGAGAGAGACCCCATCTCTACTAAAAATAGAAAAATTAGCCAGGCATTATAGCGAGTGCCTGTAGTCCCAGCCACTTGGGGGACTAAGGCAGGGAGATCACTTCAGCCCAGGAGTTTGAGGTTGCTATGAGCTATGATACCATAGCATTCTAGCCTGGGCCACAGAGTAAGACTCTTTCAAAAAAAAAAAAAAAAATCAATATGTAGAATATCTAAAATAGAAGAACAATTTAGGCCACAAAGAAAATTAACTTACTGCATTAATACATTGTGGGAGTTTTAAAGGCAGTTTTTACTTTTTATTTGTAAGGTATTTCAGTGCCCTGAGTTAAATCTTGCTTTTTTTGATCTGAAAAATGTGAGCCAATTCAGGGAAGAATTTGGAGATTCTGGTGTAAGGCACATGGGCGGGGGTCATGCACCAAGGAATCTGTCTCAGCCACCCCTTGGGACTTGTTGCAGTTTGGAAGCACCAGGGAGGATTCTGGTGTCCTTTGCTGCAGGAGGAGGGCAGGCAGGAGGTTGTCAAGTTGGGTGGTCAGGAAGTTCTGCTGGCTTGTTTCCACCTTGCTTTGGGTTGTCTTGCTTCTGTGGTTCCTGGCTGACTGACTGTAGCCCCGTGATGGGCTGGCAGGATCACACTCGCTCCTGTTTTCAGGGACGGCATGCCTCCTGCGAAAGTGAATCTCGCAGGTGTCTGTGTCGGCCAATATAGAGACTCCCATGCCTGGAGTCCCCATAAAGAACTGGCACTAAAATCTATCAGGATGTGGTTTGTGACAAAATGAGAAGAGGCCCACAGACATGAGAAGGCTGAGAAAGGGTGAATAGACCCAAAGAGTTGCCTCTAGAGAAAGTCTAGAAGATAATATGTTTTAGAAAATGAAAATGAAGCACAGAGAGTGACCAAGGCAGACTGCAGGGACTTCTCTCGTACTGGGGGAGGCAGCCCTGAGCTGGGCTGGGGAGACATCCAGCCTATTGAGGCTGACAAGGGGAGTGCGGGGGGTGGGGGGGGCTTCCTTCATCACCCTGAGTTTGACTGTCACTACTCAATGGCAATACCTCTGTGTCAGCCTACAGGGGTCCTCAAACTTTTTAAACAGGGGGCCAGTTCAGTGTCCCTCAGACCGTTGGGGGTCGTACTGCAGTCCTGGGACGAGTCAGCTGCTAAGCAGGACAGGCAGCGGTGGCAAAAACACCCAGCAGGCCAGATAAATGTCTTGGGTAGGCTGCATGTGGCCTGTGGGCCATAGTTTGAGGACTCCAGGCCTAGGAGCTTGAGCAGACACAGGATGTGCACCTGCTCCTGATATAGCTGCTGCCTTGGGCTTCTGAGCAACCACACTGAGGCCCTGCTTTCTGGAAGGTTCCAGGCTGTGCGTTAGAGCTGTGGCCCTTGGGAAATCTTGCCCACAATTACTGAACCAGCCACAGAGCCCTGAGCAGGCAGCAGTGTACCCAACACGGTTCCCATTAACTGGGTTGATTTTAGGATTCTTGACCTCCTTGTACAAATTTTTTGAAAGGAAACTTTAGATAGTGCAGGTCAGCAAATTTTAGCAAAGCTCCCCAGAGCCCCGGCTCCACCTCTCTCAAATTGGGGAGTGTTCTGGGTCACACCCCTTTACTTAAAACTTGAAAGCCAGTTGAACTTGAAATACTCAAAGATAGAAATTCAACAGTTGAACCTAAGTTTGGGGGGCATTCCAAGTTTACCTCAAAACTTTTTTTTTTTTTTTTGAGGCAGAGTCTCGCTATGTCTTCATGTTGGTAGAGTGCTGTAGCATCACAGCTCACGGCAACCTCAAACTCTTAAGCTTAAGCGATTGTCTTGCCTCCGCCTCTCAAGTAGCTGGGACTACAGGTGCCTACCACAACACCCAGCTATTTTTTTGTTGCAGTTGTCATTGTTGTTTAACTGGCCCAGGCCAGGTTCAAACCTGCCAGGCTGGGTGTACGTGGTTGGCACTGTAACCACCGTGCTATAGGCGCCAACCCTACCTCAACTTTTAAACGATGCTTTAATGTAAAAAGGGATGGGATTGGGTGAAGTTTTACAGTAGAGTAGATGTCCTGTCTTAAGTTCTCATGTCTTGTACATGTCTTAAGTTCAGAAGATCCAAAGGTCCCATAGAGGTTCTCCTTCCAACTGAGGCTTGGACTTGGCACCAGTGCCTCGAGCACTGGCTGTGGTGAACAGAATGAGCAGTGAGATGGGGAGTTGCCCCCTTGGGGACTCGTTGTGGGGACTTTTGTCTCATTACTCTCTGCATTCATAAAGCAAGCTGGAGTTAGTAGCAGCCTCTTCAGTTTGACCCATGCTTGGCTCATTAAGTGACCAGGGCTAGGTGTTCTCAAGGTTGGAAAGGTACCAAGTGACTTGGCTCAGGTACCGAGGGAGCCTTTTAGAAGGCGCACCCCCACTCTGTCCAGGTGTCGGGGTGCTGGCAAGAATGCCATTCCCTGCTGTCTGTGTGGGGACAGCTCTGCAAATCAAATCTAAGGGTGATTCAGAGTCTGAGCCCCCAAGTTGGGGTGTGAGCCAGAGCAGCAGCGGGCCTGCCTCGAATCTCCCCCCATCATGGTGCTGTCTTGCTGCTGACATCCAAGGGGCAGAGGAAGCTACAGAGCCAGTCGCTGACCATTGATAGCTCAGGTCACAGAGACTGACCTCGGTGTTCAACCAGCCCTGCATACCAGGGATAAATACCATGGTTATGGCGTGTCATTCTTTTTAGACATTGCTGAATTTGATCTGCTTATGTTTTGGTGTTGCTTTTTTTAATTGAGACAGGATCTTACTCTGTTGCCCAAACTAGAGTGCAGTGACCTTATCATAGCTCACTGTAGCCTCCAATTTCTGGGTTCAAGAGATCCTCCTGCCTCAGCCTCCTGAGTAACTGATGGGTGTGTAGCACCACATCCAGCTGATTTTTCTCTTTTTCCTAGAGACAGGGAGGTCTCACTCTTCCTGAGGCTAGTCTTGAATTGCTGGCCTGGAGCAATCCTCCCACCTCAGCCTTCCAAAGTGCTAGGATTACAGGTGTGAGCCACTGTGCCCAGCCAATCTGCTTATGTTTTGTTTTTAACATTTAAATTCATGAGAGAGATTTTTCAGCAGTTTTCTTTGTATTTTCTTTCTTTGATCTTGGTGTCAAGGTAGTACAGATTGATTATCCCTCATTTGAAATGCTTAAGTCCAGAAATGCTTTGGATTTCTGATATTTTTAAATGTTTGCATATTTGCATGTAGTGGTTGACAGCGGTCCTCTTGGCTGGGGATGTAACTTCAAGCTGATATTCTCAGGCATGAGTACAGGAAGGGAAGGTGTGTTTAATGATAAACT